AGTGAGGACCAGCTCCCTGCCAACCTACTACCAACTTAAATGAACCTTTTTCATTTTACAAGTGATAAATTTGGCGACTAACACTTTTTACAGAATTTATAAAATTATTCTGTAAACATTTAAGTCGGTAGTACACATAACAGGTGCTAAAATGGCAATAGTATTTTATCTCAATTAGTCACAATGTTCTTGAGGTTCTTTCGCATATTGAAAGAGTCAAAATGGCGTCCTTGTTTCTATATCGTTGGCCCACGAAAGTTACGGAACAAATCAATTGTCAAATAAGGATATCCAAACAAGGATGTCATATCGATCTTCTTAGTCTCCGAAGAAGCCTTATGACTTGACAAGTATCATTTTTATACTAGTGATCTTTTTGCTCGAATTCGAGCAATTGCAAAGTATTACAGTTTCAAAACGAATAACAGTCATAATTTCCGATGACTTAAAAGAGTCAACTTTAGGATAATGAAATGAATCACTCCACTCTAGTAATCGAAACTGAAAACGAACTCACTCTAAAAACGAAGGCTCTTGTGTGTATCATGTGTTTACTATGAACAGCTGTAATTAATAAAAGATTTTCGTCTGATTAAGTAAACCAAATCTTTTCTTCACAAGAAATACATTGGGATTTTGATGGCCTGTGGGGCGAAGCCCGAGGACTTTTATTACAGGAATTGGTGAAAGGGGGCGTCTACACAAAAAATACTTTAATTTCACACATTGTTTGTAAAATCCATCCATTATCAACGGAGGAGTAGTGTTTCGTAGAAATCGCCTTCACGTATTATATATAAGGATGATTGCAGTGTAAGTACACATCTAGACGTGTCGGATGAAGTACTTTTATCATAATTACTTATGATCAAATAAACCTTTATTATACTTATTGATACCTTTATTATACTTATTGATACCTTTATTATACTTATTGTATGGAAAATATTCTTCCAAGTAATTTAATAGCAGTGAATAACTGAATTATTTCAAACAAAAGTCGTTGCTTGAATTCAGACTAAAATATAAATCAAAAATATTAATAAATTCCACCAAACGACGATTGTAGCTTAGTCATCCTGTTGACCAAAACATTGTTGTCTTTTAATATAAAAAGTACATTATACATTATAAAATTTTAAAGATCAGCCTAATCATATGTTTACATTGTTGAGATATATACAAATAAAGAGTATTATCACATAAATTTCCAAAACTATATTTTAATTCTTAATATAATTATTTGTGTAGAATGGAATTTTAATAATATCAAGAATAGCTTATGTAGTATCATGTAGACCCCATATTTTAATTAAATTACTCATTGGATGTAAGTTTTATTCAAATTACTTGTTCAAACCGTAAATATCATTATGTTGATTCAATTTACTGGATTTAAGTAATACCAAGTAATTTAATGTGTCCATTAACGTTAACTTTATAAACGTATCCTTGTAATTAGAATGGCATTTTTGTAGTTAGTTCTAATATGTCCCCATGGATTTGGAGTGATAACAAATAATCAAAAGATAAAATTGGTTATTTCATACAAATACGTCAAGAAAAATCTCTGCCACCATAAAAACAATATTAACCTATTGCACATTAATTCGTTAGCTACCTCGTTTCACTTTGAATGAAAGTGTTAAAGTGATGAAATGCTCGCTTGGATCGATACGGAATGGTACAGTGCTGCAGACGCTGGGAGAACGGGCGAACTACCACGAAATAGTTCCGGGGTTTTCCGCTAAAGCAGCACTTGTAAGGGCAAAATCTAACCTAGTGTTCAGGTCTTTTCGTTTCTTTATCTAAATATTCGAAACTATCACTACGCACAACAAAAAGAAAAATCGTGTGAAAACATAAACTGTATTTATAACGTTTGATTAGGTGTGGGGTGAGTAAACTTTTTATAAAGTTTGTCTTTAAACTCCAAAGTTACAGCAAATTGACACTGCGTATGGTTTGAATACCTAACCGCAATAAGGAGCACAATGTTTATTGGATATTGTACAAAAGTTCAACTAACAATTGGAAATGATGGAAAAAGTATTTATTGTATTTTGTAAGAAGTTGGTTAATATAGGCCTACTTTTAAATATTAAACTTGAACAGTGTATACTAATCAAATATTACTTTTGTCACCTTATGGGTGGTCACGACTTTAATTTATCTAGATGAACTGTAAAATGTGTTTATTTTGTGCAAGGGTTTATATCATATATCGGTATAGTGTTTAAATGTATAAAAATAACAAAAGTAAAACTAAACTGTTCTAACCAAACAAATAATAACCGATTTAAAAGTATTTAAAGTCCCCTAAAAATCACCACAACTAAAACAAATAAAAGACAAATTCAAAAATACTAAACTCTAAAAAATCCGGGGACAAAATTTTGTTATACAAGTAGTAATTGGGTTTCGCTAAAAATTCATTTCAGGATGAAAGGAACCAAATTGTTACTTCAAACGCTTGGTTGAATTTGGTAAGTTGTTGGAGGATTGGCATAAAATCACAGCATTTGAGGTCTATGTTTTGTCACTGGAGGATGTGATGGAGTCTAACGCCGCATTTAACATCAGCTGTGCAGAAAACCAACAAGAAACTCTTCCAACACTCGCTTCACAAGCACATTTTGCTTTCACTATGTGATCGTGTTTTGTTAGATTGTAAGTCACCCGAGCATGCTGACGATTCACCCAGCACTAATGCTAATTGTTAAGTTTATTGTGTTTAAATACTTTCTGATAGGTTTTTGTGAAAATGTATTTATAGCCACTTTTTATAATATTGTAAATCATCTGATCGGTTAAAATCGTAATTTTTTACTAGCGTATAACAACGTTAGAGAAATCCAAGAATTTATTGGTCTTGCGATTTACAACTGAGGAAGATATTTTTTTTATTTTATTTTTTTTGTTTTTAAGATTTCCTTCACTTATATAATTCTTTGTCTGCTCTGAAGTGCCGATAGCACTGCGGCCGTCCATGTAAGGTGTTCATTTTCAAACCATTGTTGAGAAAACATGCTGAAGTTTTACCATAATTGTTTGATACGTATTTGACTATTGACTATTCTGTAAACAAAAGTCATTCACAACACTACTGAATTGAAATAATTAACTGAAAGTTTGACAATAATAGTAAGGTAAATTCCCTATCCAATACAAACAACTACTGGAAAAGCTGTTGCACAATGTAGCCTAAGTTTCAAATTTGAACAAATAAGCCTAAAAGAAAAAGTCTTCCAAAGCACATTAACCAAGCCCTTTTAGTTACATTTTTCTATCAGAATGATTTGTCATTGATTTATTGACCTAAAATATCTTAGAATAATATTCTGAACCTACCTAAGTTGTAGAGAGTGAACAAACCATTTCGTAAGAGCATTCAAACTTAATTTTAAAATGCACATGTATATGGTACTGATGCTCTTCACAAAAATTCAAAATCTCAAAAATTACAGCCACGTGGGCCAGCATGCTAAAACGTGTTCGGACATGTTCGGGCCTGCAAGGCTCGAGCGCGTGGAAGCGTGTTCTTGTCAGAACGTGCCCAGACTAGCGACGCCATCTTTGAGCCACACTATTCATCAAGCTGATCTGCAGGCGTCTCGCCGATCAATCTTGCTTGCTTCGTCTTCTGCATCACATTTCGGTGGTCAGCCGTTTTCATCTCCACTTTTTCAAACAAATCCCTGAATAAACCGAGTAAATAATACGAGTGCTTGAGACTGTTTCCAGTTTGCTTGGTTTCCTTTTGTCCGTGTACAATTTACTAAAAAATATCATAAGTACTACAGCTGTAACAAAGAATATTGATAAAGTACACTTTATATCTTCGTGTTTTCATTTCATACTTTGTGATGCGCAAGTTTTTTCTTTCTATATAAATCGAGTCGCCTATTTTAAACTAAGTATATTGGGTATATTGGGTTTAATTTCTACCCTCACCAATTATGTGATATTAAATTATGAAATATATAGTATTCAAATTAAAAAATATGATTAAGGTATACAACCTTGTTTTTGACGATATGATTTCTTAATTCTTATATATATTTGGTATTCTAGGGATTTTGTTATATTTCTATATATGATTTTTAAGCAGATTGTGTTATCCAAGATATAAATCCACACTTAAGTTATATTTATATCCAACGAAGACAAAATCGTAGAATCGAGAATATTTGTTCGGTTGAAAAAAATTGTTATTACTAATTTAGCACCAACAATGGGTCAAACAACAGCCATTCCCATTTCTCCAATTTTAAAGAAACTCTCATTGTCACCTTTCTTTCGAGTACACCAAATTTAAAAAATCCCGTCATTTTTTCGCATCCAGATCTTTTTACTGTTATTTTGAGCTTAGAATACGAATGCCTTTTATGTGGTTCTAAAATGTTAGTGATTTATCCCGGAAATAATTGATTTTCAGGACGAAAAGAATCAAATAGTAACCACAAACGCGTGGTTAAACTTGGTAAGTGTGTTGAAAGATGTGGGCAAGGCATTAGTTCTTGCTTTCAGCCACAGAGCGTGGTACAGTCGTACCAATGTGGATGTGTAATATGTCTTAGTGTATGCAAGGTCGAGGGAACGCGGCAGTCCACACAGTACTATATATATATATATATACTAGTCGTTAGTACCACAGGCTTGGAGTCAATTGAGCACACCAACTTTCTTGTCACAATCACGTTTGAAGACAGAGCTTCGGCAGAGACTTTAGGCGTCAGTTTTGAAATTGTTTCATATTCTCAATTTTCATATTCTTACAAGACAAATCTACAATGAGTATTTTATTCCCCTGTAATGTCACAGTTGTTTTAATTTAAAACAATTACACCTTTTAATTGTCAATAACATTTTTGTGGAGTCTTTGATGAAAATTTTATGTTTGGATACCGCGGGGGCTGCCGCGGTTCGCCGTCCAGAATGTGACTATGTTGGTGTGCCCCTTTATTAATCGCATTGTTTTTTGTGCATGGATTTGATAGGATGAGAAGAATCAGCTACTAATAACAAACATTTGGTTAAAACTGGTAAGTCGATCAATAAACTATAAACTTTAATAAAAACTAATAAATTACTGTCGCAACAGAGGAAAAAACAAATACGATGCCCAGATATAAACTGCTGGGACTTAACACTTGAGTTGTTTTAAAACGAAAAATAAAAATAATCTACTTAAATATTCCTAAACTGTTGAATTTAAATTGTGTTTAAATTTAATAAAACACATCTAAATACCCCGACACGTCTGGGATCTGTTTGTTTTTTTTCTCTCTAGCTGTATGTACCCGGGCATGCTTCCTCCCCTCATTCGGGCAGAGAATCACCCCCTAAACTGACTAAACACCCCTCAGTCGTCACAATAAACCTGCAGAACCTAACATCTACATGATAAAAGACTTACTAAACAACACGTAAACCGATGAGAGTTGATCTTCGAGCATGGACCTGATGCATGACTCCCAGCTTTGATGACGTCACGACTGTGTTGTTGTAGTTCTCTTCTACACTTTACACTCAAACCACTTTCTAAACCAACCTGATAAATCACAGAATAAAGAATAAAGGCGGAATAAACGTCAATATTTTACGTAAATTATATTTAAAGTACGGACCAATTCTTTACTTTTCAAAAAAGTTGTATTTGTTAGGTATTATTCATTTGAGTTGGTTGTCAAAACGATCATTCCGTAACCTAATTTTTACAAAAGTATACAACTCTTGTGAAATGAGCGTTTAATTAAAAATATTGTGTTGCAGTTAACTATATTTCAATGATTTGCTCTTGTTTCAATTAGAATTGCTATTCCGTTTTACCTTAAAATTTATGTTTCTAGTTAGTTCAAATTGTAATTTTTAATATATTTATAAATTCAAACTTTAATATATTTCACTTTTATAATTTTCCTATACAAAATTAATAGCGATTTTTTTCATAAAGTAGTATACTCCTCAAAACAGTAAAGCCTTTCTTTGTTTCCCCCCGCTTGGAAATTAAATCTAAGTTTTAAATTAGTTTCCCTTTTCATTCTTTTTAACACAAACATTATTGGTCAGTAAAAAGATAAAGAGTTGCTACTTTTGTTTTAAGCGTTGTATAAAAGTGCTTAAAACTCTTAAAATGCAAAGAAAAAAAAAAATTATTATTGTAAATCACCATTGAAACTGATTCCAATACTGTGTCAATTTATTTAGCTACTCAAATAATTATGTAATCATCTCGTACATAGTTATAAGATGTAAATCATAAATTAAAATGAAATATTATCACTATTTCATATTCACATTCCTCTACTTTTTATTGATTTGTGTCTGCTTTATATAATTGTTTTCACGCTGCATACATCTTCACAATATACTATATACTTAAGAACACCTTAACATATTCAATATACATCATGAAATGTATGAAAACACTTTCTTTGTTATATGGAGAGATTTTTGGGTCATGGTAGCTGTTTGTTGTAATCTTTCTGATGAATAACTGGAGTGAATATTTCCTAATGTTCTAACGTGCACCAATGTTAAGAGATTGCAGCACTAAGATCGTTTATATGTGTTGTAATGATTGTGATTGTTAGATGTGTATTTCTTTTGACAATACCGAATGAGGTAAGTGGCTAAAATAATTTTAATTTTACATTTAGAAGATTTGGCAAGCGCATTCTTACGAAATAACGAGAAATGTCTTTGTGTTCAGAATGTAAAAGTAGTTCTAACATTACATTTTTACACTAGAGTTGATTTTAATTTTAACAGTTTTGCATTGTTTGACTTGTGTGCACAAAAATCAATTAAAACAATTTGAAGTATTATTTTTGGAATAAAAACTGATTTTGTTTTAATATTTAAAACTAAATTTCCTTATGTAAGAAACATACAATATTATTTTGTACTAATGCCTAAGTAACTGTCCACTCCATTAATTATTATTAAAAATATATTTTTTAAGGAATGTTTATGTTTTAATCGCAAAATGATATTTATAAGATTCAAATGAACACCTGTTCAGAGCTATGAAACGTTTATGATAAATAGCAAAAACTTTTTAGTAAAGTAAGTTCATGAAGGTATTTATAATATTACTTGCTTGGTTTGAAATTGTTTATTTAAATTGAAACAATGTTTCATCAAATTTTGTGTCAATTACTATTTGATTAAATACATAGAACACTGTATTTTATCTTCTATTCATATGCGTGATGACTTTATTATTTTTAATATGCTGCAATAGATGCAATAGGAGCTCAATTTGCATTATATATTCTTTAAAATATCAAAATATCCAGATTTAACAAACGTGTATGCCTAGGCATAATATTTTGTGTAAAAAACATATTTTTCAAATTCAATTTGGACTTTACCATATTCTTTACCAGATTTCTCACACTTTTTCGTGTTGTTAGGAATGGAACGATGTCAATCTCAGGTGGAACTCTACAGAATACGGAGGCGTCAAAGATTTAAGAATACCACCTCACAGGATATGGAAACCAGACGTGCTGATGTATAACAGGTAAACCACCCTTCCCAGCTTGTTGAGCACTATAAAACTGTGATTCAAAAAATATTAACAAAGTAAAAACGTAATTTTAACCTCCGAAATTCCAAAAGAGTTTTAAAGTATTCTTTTAACAATTATAGACCAATTTCATTTTTTTTGTGTTTTTTTGGAAACATGCTAAAACAATATTAATAGAATAAGACTTTGAATTTTTTTGTGTTTTCAAAAACATATAAATCAGTCTGAGTTGCACATTCAGTGGCTAGCCTAGAAACAAGCTTGGACCTAAACTGCTGCCCTGCACGCCTCCCGCATGCGAATACTCCTCTCCTCGCTTCTACATGTAAACACTGTAAACAAAACGTTAAACAAACACGTCAGTTGTAATATTTCAGATAAACATTCAAAACTAAAAACGTAAACTGAAATATTACAGCAAACGGTCAAAATGTGTTAAAGTGTAGTCCAAAATAAATAACATTTGGCAAGTATGTTTTCAGATTTCTACTCTCTACTAATCAACACAACTAACCACTAATCGCCTCGAGGCGGACAGATGCTAACGTTGTTCTGACAACTTCAGCATTGTGGGGGCGAAACTAAGGTTTCAACCTCTTGGTGCGAATAAACCCCGATAAAAACAACCCTTAATCAAAACGAATAAATAGTCCGTAGCTTCCAAATACTATCATTTCCCACATTCGATCCTATCTTCACGTTCCTATTCCGTAACTTCCTTTAATGCAAATGCTTAAACATTAAAATTAAAGTATCGTAGTTTTAATTATTTATTTTTAAGTTTCAAATTTTTCATAAAAATTTTACTGTTTTAAAATTTTAACTAGACTATTTTTTAATTTAATTAATTTCACTTTAAGAAATAATGAAAAATGTAGTTTTTAGTACCGAAAAAGTATTCTTAAAATGGCTCTCAATTTAAAAAAAAACATAAGAATTTGATTTTATATTCTGAAAATACAATTATATAAAATAATTTCTTATCTTCTTCAGTTTTTTTGATAAATTTATTAAAATAAGCTTGGAGTTTGTAATACATACAGGTATTATCTAATTTATACATAATAATTGATTTCGAATCTAACTGCTGTTAAAGACATTTTTATTGCTGGCCTATGCGCATTAAAACACAATGTTTCAATATTTTTAACATTTTAAATTAAAATTTATTACTCATGTTAATTTAGTTCATTTATTAAATTGAATTTCTTTGGTATATTTGTTGGTACTTAAAATTTGTTTTAAGCTAAAAGATCTTCTACGTTTCATATAGAAAAGAATAAAAATAAACCATTTGTACAATACTATGTAAGTTCAATATACTTATGTTAAGAAGAATAAGTTAAATAATTTTCACTAGATAACTATAGGTGGAAAATAACTAAGGGTAGATGTTTTTTTTTTTTTATTTTACTAAAAATCTATTTACGTTACACAAATTTTACACCGAAGTTAATATATGTAATTTGTGTATTTTACTGTGTAAAACTCCCAAGTTCAGGAAACATTTTAACCTTTACATTTTGCAGAACTTTGATCAATTTGTTTAACAGTGAAAGAATACTTATGATATGTTTTTTTACAATCTTTAATAAGAATTGTACTTTTATTGAATGACAGACCAATCCGTACTATTTCCTAATATGGGTGTTTCTTAAATCTTGATAAATATCTTTTACTTTGCAAAATATAGGTTAAAGTTTGAAAAACAGTGGACTAGGACTATTTTATACAACATAAGATTGAACATTAATAAACCAATTGCTGTACCCTTAAGCATGAAATTATTTATTAATATACTGATCAGCTTTCGAAAAAAAAACTTTTAAAATGGCATCAGTGCCGAAACTGGGTCATTATATTAATAAATAACTTTATCTTAAAAGGGTACTAAGCTTATTAATGTTTAAGCTATATACAGGGTGTCCCGGAACTCTCTACCAATATTTTAGGGCATTGCTCCTGGGTAAGAAACAAACCTAAATATCATATTTAAATTGTCCGGAAGTCCTTAGTTACTCACACAGCCGCCATTTTGTTTTTTTCAGTTATTAATTTTTTTCTAAAGAATGGTTAAACATACGAAATGGAAACTTTGGACAAACATTTATGACAACTAGACAAAGCTACAAAAAAATTATGACGATTTTTCAAATTCATAAAACAAAATGGCGGTAAAATCAACGGTTTTTGAGCTATTTAAGAAACAACATTTTAAATGGTCGCCATTTTGTTTTATGAATTTGAAAAATCTTCATAATTTTTTTGTAGCTTTGTCTAGTTGTCATTAATGTTTGTGCAAAGTTTCCATTTCGTATGTTTAACCATTTTTTAGAAAAAAATTAATAACTGGAAAAAACAAAATGGTGGCTGTGTGAGTAACTAAGGACTTCCGGACAATTTAAATATGATATTTAGGTATGTTTCTTACCCAGGAGCAACGCCCTAAAATATTGGTAGAGAGTTCCGGGACACCCTGTATTTACACTAATACCTAACTACCTAATTCATGAAATGTTTGGATGCAATTTTCTAACGATGATTTTAAGTTTTGTAAGATGCAACTTAAAATAGAACAATTGAAGCGAATTTTAATGCATTTGTAAATCATTTTTCTTTAATATAGGTGAATAAAGTCTTATGATTCATCGAGCTTATACCATTTTAAGAATAACGTGACTTTTAATGCCTATCAATGACCATAAAAAAAAACGTTTAACGTATAATCACTTACTACAGCAAAAAATAAAAATGTTTCTATAAAAGACTCATTAATTATTACACCATAAATTTATTACAAATTCTTACTTTTACTTTTGAAATCTCATTCATACATAATATAATTTAAAAGCACATTTAAATGAGGGTTTTAAGTTTAATCTTCTATATATTTCTCACGAGTTTGTAGCTAAACAACAGCTTTAACGCCTTTATAGGTGAAAAAGTATAAAACACTATTTAAGAACAGCTTGTGCTGAATATAATTTTGACATAAACATAATATGTAGACTATGATTGGATGATATTTTACACGAGTTTTTGTAGACTTTTCAGTACTTCTCCGATCATTATGCATGTTCCTTCTGACCTCTTCCCGCCTGTTTTGGTGTTAGATTTCCTCAACATTCTTAACGATCATGACGTCACTCGCATTTCACCAGTTGATCTTTGACAGCTATCATGAAGGGAAATTCTCTTAAAATAAAACTTACTAAGGGAGAATCGTGCTAACAAAAAAATAGCACGGAAGGTTTTATTTCAAGCCTTTTGGAACAAGGTTGTTGGAGATAATATTAAATTTATATTTCTTCCACTAAAAAACTATTGGGAATTGTTCGATATGTTTAAAGTAGTTTTTTAGGAACTTAAGTTCTGAATTGATCATCTTTTTTAATTCCTTACGAAAAATTATGAAAGTTTACGGAATTATGCAACTAATTTTTAAGCTATTCTTAAAACTGGTCAAAATGTTTCAAGTTTTGAGATGGATAACAATGACGTTGGTTAATCCCAACTATATCCTTTCTTGCCGTCTCTAATGATTTAAATTTGTTTTTTGAATATATTGAAAGTCAAATAGTAAGAGCTCAAATTACCTCTACATTTTAAATTTTAATTTAGTACTCTACTGACAAAATGCTAACTCTATTAGATTCCGCCCAAAATTGTTTACAACAACATTTAATATGATTATAGTAATGAGTTATATAATTTCATTTAATAATCTTATCTCAATACTCACAAAAAGGAAAATTCTCTGACAGGCAGATGATCACATTATCTCACAAATTTACAACCTAGAATTGTCAAATTTGGCATAGCCCTGCTGAAACTAAAGGACTGAACCCATCCTTATTTACTATACAGAACAAACTTACAGTTTTTGTGAATACTGAAGACTTTATTCTGAAACTCCATCTCACGACGATGACGAAAGTATATTGTTTGATGACAACCACTTAACTGAAAATAATTTATTCAATTACATTTAGGTCTATCTAATTTGCAAAAAATATAGGATTTTTATGGCCGAAAGCAAACTAGCTTTACAGAAACTAACGTTTTCTGTTGAAAATTAAGAACTGATTTACGGACATTTTGAGTATAGTGAGACCACACAGAGTAAAAGTTTTACAGTAAATATACAATAATAATCCTTAAATAGGAAAACCTAGCATTTTTCACTCTTATAAAAATTTAATACAGAATCCACTGAAGTCGAAGAAGAAGTTGGCTTCTCTACTTACTTAACTACAATATTAAAGTAAAGTTTTGGATCAAAATCTACACTGCTTAGAGGCTAACTGCACAAACATTCCCGTCAAGACAACGTCTTTTCTAATCTTTATTCGTAGGATTTTTGCAGCCGGTGTGAGTACAATCTAAATTTTTGATCGGTGATACATTAGGCGATGATTTCCAGTCGTTTTATCTTTACTTCCAGGATATATTGACACGTATCGTTCAACTCATATTTAAAACGACCCGGACAGACAACAACGAGTCTAGCTACTAAAGATGCATCTCAATTTAATTACAAAACGTGAATCTTAAATTAAGGGGACATTTGACTGCAATCACCAACCAACGACGTGGACGACACCAAAAACTAAACTCTACTAGTTACTTACATTGTCATCACCCTAACTACCCACACGCAAACTTTCACACCACACAATTTAGGGATCGGAAACCCTTTTTGGAAGTGCGAGTGACGTACGCTGACTTACCCGGGGTTTTTATTTGTCCAGTGCCGACGAGGGGTTCGACGGCACTTACCCGACCAACGTTGTTGTCAGAAACAACGGGAGCTGTCTGTACGTCCCTCCTGGCATCTTCAAGAGCACTTGCAAGATTGACATTACCTGGTTTCCTTTTGACGACCAGAAGTGCGAGATGAAGTTCGGTAGCTGGACCTATGATGGATTTCAGGTAGAGCATGCGTAAGGTAGGGTATGAGTAAACGTGAAGGAGACAGATAAGTAAGGTACAGAGGAACACTTATGTAACCGTGCACTTTCAGCTCTAGTGCCGGAAATGTACTTGTGGCAAGGAAGAGTTCAAACGGTGGGCACTGTGCGGATTCCTATCGCACAGGGCATAATGTCTTCCTTGGCCGTAAGCGTTGTAGTACATGATGGTGAGGAGGGTAGTGTTGGGACTTTTCCCAAGACACCAGAACTAGTGCTAGACACCAGGACTAGTGCTAGACACCAGGACTAGTGCTAGACACCAGGACTAGTGCTAGAAACCAGGACTAGTGCTAGACACCAGGACTAGTGCTAGACACCAGGACTAGTGTTAGACACCATAAAAAGTGCTAGACACCAGGAATAGTGTTGGACACCAGGACTAGTGCTAGACACCAGGACTAGACACCACTTAAGTGTACCGTGGAGTGTATCCTCTGTTCCTTACTTCTCTGTGACGTGAAGTTTCTGTGGGTCTTGTCCTCATCAGTCTTTTGCAGGAATCCAATATTTTGCATTTGTGTTTGAATCTTTAGGAACAGCTGCCAACCACTTTTGGTCTTAATATTGATCCTATGTATGAATTAAACATAGCCATTTATTTGTTAAGTAGATATACCTTCTATTTGGATCTGTGACTGATTTTTTATGCAAATTGGACATCATTGAGCCAGATACGGAGTGTGATGCTGTCTTTCGGATTTGTCCTCTAAGCTACAATTAATTATATTTGATCAGACCACTCTCGTGGTTGCTCATTTTACTATAGTACTTCAATGTGTATTCTAAAACTGGCTTCACCTTTAACATGGCAGTGGGCTGTCCACTTGTATTAAACGTCAAAGATATAAAACTAACTTGACTTTGTGAAAAGCATGCCTTTGATTTTTTTTACTTAAGGAAAGGAACGAAACAAATTACTTAAAACCAGATACAAGTAAATAAATTCTTAAGTCTTATGTGAATTATGATATAAATTTAAAACTATATTAAAGAAATTATGTTTCGCAAAATTCTTTATAATCTTTAACAAAGTCAACATCGCCACATATAATCCCAAAATTACCATAATTTCTTTTAGTCTTACAACACAAGCAACTTAATATACGTTCCACATTCCAAGTTTATCCAACACCTTATGCAGACAACTAAAAAGTCTCAGAAGCATATACATATTTGAAACAAGCTTTCTAGTTATGGATTGGTGATTGAATGTTGAAGCATTCGTAGTAGAGGATGAATGTGGACAGGCATAAGTAGAAGAGACCAAATGTATAAAGGTACAAATATTCTGTGAGGTAAGTATTTTTTAAGAAGCGTGATAGTTATTTTTTTTATTATATCACAGTTGCTTCCTTTACAAACAATTTTTCAAACGTTGCTCAGCACGTTTTTCTCAAAATGGATAAACTCAAAGTATTATCTCACTACGATGAGTATGTATTTCTAATGGGGCGATTTGATATAAAATATTTAATTTCATCCATGCATAACACTATTTTATGGCTTTAGTAACTTTATCTATCACCTTATGATCCATACTACGAAAAACTGTCTCTGGGTTTTAAGTTGAACGCATATCTGTTTTAAATATTTTTAACTTGATAGAATAAAGTTGTTGTCATAGTTTGTGAATGAATTCATAAAAAGTAAATTAGTATTTCCCATTCAACACAAGCCTCATTACACTTTTTCTTCTAGGGTATATGAAGAACGAGTACATAACTCCTTTATTTATACACTTCCAATAGCTCAAACTGTATAAAGTTCCTGTAGTTTTTCTTAATATTATTTTTGCTATTAGTCAATCTTTTTGATTACACGTATGTAACCTTAAACTATCATAACTTAATGTTTTGAAAAATAACAAATACCATCTAACATTGTTTTAAGGACAGGGTATTTTTGGAACTAAACTTTTGGACAAAAATATTTAAAACAACATCATCATGATTTATTATAATAATTAAATACTAAAATACTATTAGAATTCCATTCATAAATAGTTTTGACATGCTTAATCACACCGACTTAAACCTTAAAAAAATTTTCATTTTTTAACTTTTTTAGCAATTATTTTACTTGAATAAATCTAAAACATTTTTAATAGTATTGAATTTGTTAAATAATATAACACAGGAGTTTAGATAATAGTGTGTAGATTACAGGGTGTAATAAACGCAGTGGGTCAAAAATGGATCTATGTTTTTAAATTTATTAGTTTTATATATAAAAATGTCGATTATGAATCAGAATCTGCACTTCATTAGATCTTTGTAATTTTAGGAAAAATATAGTTTTACAACTGTTGAAATATGAAATATTCTTACAGAGAGATTGTCTATCAATAACTCAGTTGCTAATGTTTTGAAAATGTTTTCAGTTGGATCTTCAGCTTCAGGACGACGGTGGAGGGGATATCAGCAGTTTTATAACCAATGGGGAGTGGGATCTCCTAGGTAAGCTGGCAGAGTAACAAGATTCCTGAAGCCCAAGACTTGCCTAACTATAGTTAGGGCAAGTTGTTTACCAAGGCCCAAAGTCTTGTTACCAAGAGCTCTATGATCACTTGTAACTTATATGGAGTTCTTGATTCAACTGAACGTAGGGAAGCTTATATACAGCTTATAGTGTTATATTTTTGAAACAAAAGTGTTAGTCAGGAGGATAATTGGAAGGAACTTATGTATGAACACTTTGGTGTGATAGGGCTGCACGATTTTTTTCACAAAATCTATATACGAATGCAGCTATAACTAAAGGCACAAGACAAGTTACATATTGTATGTTTTACCTAGATAACTCTAACGAATGTCTCTAAATATCAGTTGGGATAGAAATGAAAACTGACAAATATGATACATTTTTTGTTTGAGTTATATTTGGAATTTAGGTTAAATGTTTTTTACAAAATTAATAGGTAAGAGGGTTTTTATACAATTATTACTTAGAATAACATAGTACAGTTTACATGAGCTCTTTGCGGTCTGGGTTTTGTATTGAGGTTGCAAGCCTATTTTTTTTTTTGCAAAATAAGTTAGTAAAAAAAGTTGAAAAAGATATAACTCATTTGTAGTAACTTACCTATAACTATAATATAGCTATAACATAACTAGTATAGCTATAATTTTGAAGGGGTGTATATTGATATCACATTATTCAAGCAAGCTCTAAGAATTTTTATTAATAACAGAATCGTATAAATAAATTATTAAGAATATATTTTACGACACAATCTATTGGTAAGCCTAAACTAAGAGTAAAAGTCAATCAATATTTTTACAGTATAATGTAAATTACAAATCATGTACACAAAAATCACAGTAACAAGCTAAAGTAAAGAGATAACTTTAACTACATCTTAAAAGCAGAAAACATCGCCCTATCATGAAATTCGATGTTTCTAGCATCTCTGAACTTACCTTTTATCTTACCTTATATTTTTACAGTTTCTTTTAAAGGTTTTAATCGTAACATTAGTCTAAAATCTTTCCTCCAAAAATTCAAAATCAGCAGTGTCTGCGTAAAAGTTTCCAAACGATTTATTGGTTATAATCCAAGTTAAATCTTGGTACGATTCTAAATAATTGCATTACACCAAAGTAATAACCACACATCAAATTAATAGTTGTTTAACATGTTTACTAGAGATTGGATAGTTTTTTTCTTTTATTCCTTTAACTAAACGCCAATAACTTTTTTAATTGAAAACATGAGAGTGAGCATATTGATTTTCTGTGTACCTTTGTAAATCCATTACACACGAAAAATTCAATAAAATGTAAAACTAATAGAGAAACTTTATGATGAGTAGTTAAGATGTTGCCTCAGCAAAATATTTAAAGACAACTGATAATCTAATTTTTGTCATAGCCTAATTGTATTTGCCTGGGTAGGCTAATAGAAAAAACATACAAGAATATCGACGGAAGTATTAAATACTTTAATTATGTATAGTTGTAGGGAAATGTAGAGGTTCTTAATTTATGTGCAGATGTAAATAGTTCATTATGTATACTTTGATTGTTTTACTCAGAATACCTACGAGAATGCAGTTATGACATTAGGAACATAAGTGCATTCTTACTTTTATATGTAGTAAGAATTGTGTTTAAAAAACACCCTATGAAACATAAATTAATAAGTAGTTTAAACCAGTCCAAACAATTGTACATAAATGTAAAGATTTTATGTTTTATGGGGTGCTCATGTTCATTCGTATAAATACAATAAACACAGATACATTTTTACGGGTTAGAATTAAAACCTTAATGTACTTCTAAAAACGAAAATAGTTTACACTTTATAATATCACGGTAGGGCGTGTAATACAGATCTACTACAATAATTTACACTTTTCACCTGATCAAAAATACGAAGTATAAAAACTTTGGACGACAATTTTTCCAACTAAACACATATTTACATGCTTTGTAATTTTCAAAAATTCGATCTGTCACTCTATCGTAACACGTACTCTAAGTCAAATCAATCATTTCGAGTTTTTCCTTAATTAAACAGTCTATATTAAATTGATGTTCAAGTTTAGTTCATAGGAAAGCCGCAAGGAGCAGCAGTTACCGGTGGCAGGCGGCAATCGATATGTCCAACATCGGCTCTCTCACACACACTCTCTCTCTTTTTCTCTCCGTCCTACAGTCCCGTCCTTTCTCCCAATTTAAATTGATTTCTCCTCTTAGACCTGTAACCAAACTCGCTAAACCTTAGTGGCTTTCCTAAAACTAAATGCTAAAAAAACTGACTAAACCAAACCATAGATCTTTCTTTAAACAAAACTGTTAAAACAAATGAATGAACATGTATGCTAATAGTGATGATAAAAGTCTATCTGCTTGTTTTGTTCATCCTCTTTAGCGTCCCTTCCTATTCCAGGTGTTCCGGGAAAACGGAACGAAATTTACTACAATTGCTGCCCAGAACCTTACATTGATATCACCTTTATCATAATGATTAGAAGACGGACTCTCTACTACTTTTTCAACCTAATAGTCCCGTGCGTACTCATCGCTTCCATGGCCGTGCTAGGCTTTACACTGCCACCGGACTCGGGCGAAAAGCTATCATTAGGTAACACATTCACACTATCATTTTTACATCTTATCTAGCCATAAGGATTGACACAAAACCTGACGATGGCGAGGTGATCAATAAAGATACTTTGAAGCAAAGCGAGAGCCGCCATGGCATCCCTCAGGGGAGCTGCATTGGAACAATTTTCTTTTTCAAAAATGTTGCGATGTCGATGATGATTCCGTCAGGTTTTGATTGGTGTTATCACGAGGGCCGGGTTCCTGTGATTGTTGCAGGCATGCCTGGAGTGAAGAACGTGAAGAACTACGCCTGCTGCCCAGAGCCCTACGTGGACATAACTTTCGCCATCCTTATTCGCCGAAGGACTCTCTTCTACACCGTCAACTTGATCGTGCCCTGCGTCATGATATCTTCAATGACCCTTTTGGGGTTCACGCTCCCCCACGAGTGTGGCGAAAAGCTTACTTTAGGTAGTCATTTTCAGCTTTTACGCCTCCAGTTTCAACGCATTACTGTTTCGGTTAGTGTCATTGCCAGGATAATTTTAAATAAAACAACGACTAAGGATTTTAAGGGAATGTGATCTGAAAGATAAATGTACCAAGATCAAATACATCTACCTCGCACTGCAGTTCTAACGCTAACCACTAGGCTAGCTACTAACTCATTATTTATTCCATAAATTAAAAGAGGATTATGACTGTTAAAACCCCAATTTGTCCATAAATAATTGCACTTTTTTACATTGTCCTCTAGTAACTTTGCTTGAAACATTGAAGTCACTATAAATAGTAAAAAGATAAAATAGGTAGGTACAATAGATCTTATTTAAATATTTTAATTTGGATTGCATATGCAAATGTTACATTTGAGTTAATCTTATTTAATCCAAATCATATCTGTATCTTTCCGACACTTTAAGATAAATGTTTATGTCGCAAAGTAATGCTTTGAAACTGGAGGGTAAATATATCTTGCCAATATAAAAATATTACTTTTCATAATAGCGTTGTTTATAAGAATAAAAAAGACCGTTCATGTGGGGAAAGGGATATCACATATAATTAATAGAAAAAAAGGTAGATTCCTTTAGTCCTTCCCATCCTAAGTTCCAAACTCCTTTAGTATTATTTTTCTCTGCAAGCTGCTTCAGAAATTCCAGACTACCAAATAAGACGCTATTTGGAATTGTGTTAATCAATTAATCATACCGCTCGAGAAGTAAATGAATTATATATCCAATCAGTTTTAGATTAAATCAATTTTATTGAAAGACAATGTCGTCTAAGCAAATGTTAATCAATAATGGAATTTTATCATGTATTTAATGTATTACCTTATATTTTGCTATCAATTTAAATATTTGCAAAACTTCAAATTTTTCGCTTATTTTTACAATTTATGTTTCTACCCCCACTTCCTTTATAGGTTAGGAAAATCCATGGAATGTGTTCCTGGTCTCATAAAAATTACGATAAACCTTATTACTACAACTATGACCCGGATGACCAAGCAAGTTTTAATTTGCAGCAAACCAGTAATGGATTTCAATCTGTATTATTCATGAAAGAGTTTTTTTATCTTTAGAAGTCCACTAGTTAGATGAAAGATTTACAATATGAGATCCCTAAAACAACCCTCAAAATTAGTTTTCCTATATTATAGTATTAATCACATTATTATATACAGGAAACTATATATTAATTATTTTAAGTTTAAACCGATAATAAAGGTTCCTCGTAAACCACATAAAAAGCTTTCAAATAATTAAACTGTGAAATCTGAACGGATATTGTTGTTTAGGTGTGACAATCCTACTCTCATTGACCGTATTTCTAAACATGGTAGCTGAAACGATGCCAGCGACTTCGGACGCCGTGCCCCTGCTAGGTATGCCTCTAGTCGACCCTTGGAGGCAGAGGGCAAAACACTTACAGTCCCAATCAGGGGTATCTATCTTGTCGTCCCCCCCCCCTCTTCTATCCTCTCCTAACTACAACTGTTTGTTCTAGATGTCACCGTGTTGCTCTCTCTAACGTTTTTCCTAAACATGGTGGCAGAGACTATGCCCCCGACGTCAGAGCGCCCCCTTATAGGTAACACGTAGTATGTGTTGTACCCCTTTAACTCCCCTAACTGCTACTTGGATCGCAGAGGGTTGGGTTTTCACGCAGCTTCCGATTCGTTTTCCAAATTGCCTTGGATTCTTTGGTCCTCTTTCACCTGTTCCTGATATTTTCCGTCCGACATGTTTTACTATTTGGAATTTGCGATTTTCTAGCTCGTTGAATGTAGTGCTACCCCATATTGCATCTGTAGCCTATGCATCGCCTCTGTTCGACTATATATTTCCCAAAGTAGACAAGCTTTCTGGGACCCTGGTTGGAGTGTTAGTAACAGTCGAAAATGAAAGAGTCAGTGTCTAAGTAAATGACCAATTAAAATAAAAACTTAAATTACTAATGGTGTAAAGTAATTTAAGTAGTCTGTACACTCTAAATTTAAATGTATATTTGTATATTGTGTGCCGAGTTTTACAGCTCTGTGGAACAGAAGGAAAGGTAAGAAGCTGCAAGGGAAATAAATGGGACTTCAACCTTTTTGGGTGCATTTAGGTGAAAGGCTTGAATCAATTTGCCAAGAAGAGACTTTATGATGACAATATTGACAACGAATTATTTCTTTCTAATGAAATCAACATTACATTACGAGAACTATTATGCACTTTTTTATGCCTTGCAATGAAGTTCTAAATTAAGTTTAACTTTGGAGACACCATTGTAATATTGTGTTAGTTTGTTTTAATACCATGGCTTTTTTCATTCATAAGTTCTTCTTAAACATAGTTGATTGGAAACAATATTAATTTAACACTTCTTAATCAAACCAATAACCTCTATATTAAAAATATACACCATTTACTGCTAATATATGATGGATTTTCAGCCATGACTGATTGATTGCATTGTTAATATTGAATATAGGATATACTCATGTGCTAGGCCAAGACTGAATCAGTTGGAGTGAGACATTAGTGGATAAACCTCTATGTGAAATTTTGAAAATGTAATACATTTTAAATTAAATCCAAAGAAAACATTTTTTTAAATAATTTTAGTGGAGAAAAATCATGTTATATTTAATGATAATAAAGAACCTTCCTAGGTTATACTGAAATATATTGAAATTATTCTCGAAAATATTGGTTCTACATGTAAAACATCTCGTTCTTTCTATTTTGCTGTTTTATACGTTTAAACTATGTATTATTCTATATAAAAATTTGGCTTTAATGTAGTATTTCATTAGTGTTCGTTTAATTTTCATGATTAAAAAATACCTCAGTTATATGGCAGTGACGAGGTATAATTTTACATTTATCGTATGAAAATAAGTTGAATGTTGTATTGATTTTCTTAATTTGATTAGAATTGAGTAAATTGGGTATTCACTACTATTTAAAATAATTTTTATAAAACAAAAACAAATTAGGCTCCTTCCCTGCAACAGCGGTACATATTTACTGTTCAGCAATAGCTACCATTTACTTCAAAAGCTCCAAAAGATAGCCTACATTAAAAACAAACACATGTTTAACGTTATGAATATCAAATAATGCATCACTTTAGATAGATAAACGTCATTTTTAGTTGGAAACGTGTTAAATACCGTTGTCAAATAAAAAGCTAAAACCAATTGAGCTTTATGGAGTTTATTGTAATGAAAAAGTAGTCACGATTATTTAATGTTTTATGAGTTTGGTTATTTAAATATTGGTTAGCAGTTAAAAGAAATAATATTATTCAGAGATTAATAAAATATAAAGATAAATATCTCACGTGTATCAATGAACATAAAGTCGTTTTCTTTCTATTTTCTTGTAATTTGTTCATGCAACCTAAAGCTGCGAATTACATCCAAGATATATTTCTTTAGTTTTTACATCCGCTAATTTGAATGTATTGTTAATTACACTAATTATATTGCCCTAACAAATTGAGTTTGGTGTAAGTCTCCAGCCGTTGTAGCCTCTAAGTATTTAAATAAGCTAATTCATACAATAGTTTTAAAGTGTTGTAGCGAGGTTGTATCTTGTTTTCACCTGTGAATGGACCATGATTACCATTGGAACTCACGAATGTCAAAAACCTTTAATGTACTTAACACACTTGCTAATAAGACGATCTTTAAATATCACAGTGGACAACATCTATCATTTAAACGGCTGTGTGAAGAAGATATTTTCAAGCCTCGAACAAACAGTTAGTGCGTGGTTTTTGGACCTGTTTTGTGTGCAATGAGTGTATCTGTGAAAAGACTTCTGCTTCTATATTCTGGAAGAAGTGAGCCACTCTACCTCCCACTTCAAAGCTTCAGAAGTCCTTCCTCCACCAGGTCGGGCGCATGTTTTGTATTTATTAGCCTCTTAGATGAAGCACAGCGGACATCACGGGAATACAGGCGGTACAAATTGCATGAATATATAAATTTTCAAAACAATTGGATACGTATAATGTCACAACAGATAAATTTATTCATAGTTTTCTACGAGTCGTACACAATTCTCAAACCAGGGTGTCAGTCTTTGGGAACTATGTAGTTGAATAGATCTAGATATTTGAGGCATTTCCATGGAATCGTGCACCAAAAACCTGTATCCTTGCTCTGCATGCAGCAAGTACGGTGTTCCATGTCTACAGGTGTGTTTATGTTTCGATTTGATGTTCTCGTGTCTATTTACTTTTTGTTGCCTCAACTAACATTGCAAACGATATCCACACGGAAAATATCAAAACAAATAAAATTCTTTTGCGGAAAATAATCCCTCGGTAATATTTTTTAAAGCGCTAAATGCACAAAACCCCACTACTAACTGACCAAAACGCGGTTCGCGTCTAAGCCACTTTAATTCCTTGATAGTTTCTGGAATATTCCCAAATTTCGGGGTTCCTCCCTAATCCCTCCCTATCCTATGTTTCAGGCTTCAAGAGATCTTCAGTGTCTGCCACTTCCCGGAAAGTCACTAAGCTACATCATAATAAATCATATTGGACTTAACCATCATCATATTGACATCCCTCCATATTTTTTCTTTTTTACATCATCACGCTTAATTTTTATAATCACCTTGCAATGACAAATGAGATTTATGTTATGCTGTATAAAATTATGCGTCTACTCTAGACGGATGATATACATCTTTCGTTTCGAAATGAATCACAACCGAAAACTTTTAAACACTGAGAGTTCTAAAAATTAGTCTACTTGCAAAGAAAAATTATGTCAAAAGGTACTAATTTTAGTTTTTCTACATTGCAGTCTAACAAATCAGTTTGATATTTAACATCTTAATCTGTCAAAATATATATTTCACTTTCTCCACCCACAAAGACTTTTAGTTCAAAGCTAAACAACAATATCATAAACGAACCTGTTAAAACGGCTTTCAATCAATAACAGTTAATGTGACAAGTCACAAGTCAAGTGCTATAACTGGTTTTATGTTACAGGAGTGACTATCTTGCTTTCACTGACAGTGTTTCATAACTTGGTCGCTGAGACTCTCCCGCAAGTTTCAGACGCGATGCCAGTCTTAGGTGCGCCTTAAAACTCGCCCTAGACTGTGGTGATTCATCGTTTAAAACCCCACAAAAGACTAATTCAAACAGTACTTCACGCTTATAACCCATATTTTCTTTTTAAGTTTAAAGTCATTTACTAAACCCTACAGCAACAAATACCATCAACATAAACAAAAATATCAAAGGGTTGTGTAATCTTTTGACATCAAGTTTATTACTTTGCAAAACTAATCATCAAAATGTTTTTATTATTATACAGGGAATGAATCACTACCATAGGGCTCCGGCCACCATATTAAATACTTTGTACAGCATGCACAACGTTGCCTATGAACGTTGTGGATGCTTATGTTTTCAATTTATGAACGATTCTCATAACATGTGGTTTTATGGTTTGTATTTGGAGTGTGTGCTATGTGTTGCTCATTACGACACCATCAAGGCTGCGCTGGTCACGTTTCCCCACCATTCGCGCGACCACCCTAGTAGTGAGCAAATGAAGGTTCTAGGTCAAGTAGTAGGTAAATGTATGTTCGGGTTCATATTTTTAAAGTTTCAAATTTTCAAGGATCAAGTTACTTTAAGGTCTTACTAATTTTTTATACTGTTCATAACGGATGAGAGTGTGTTATGGGGTTACCTGGCTATAAAATGTGGGCTTAGAGGAATAAATGCATATCTGGATGAGTATAGTCAGCTAGGGTTGTCGCGCGAACCTCCCAGACTTGACTCCACCCTGAACTTTGTTCTGGTGTTGCAGGGGTCACAATCCTCCTATCTCTCTCTGTCTTTTCACTCATGATTGCCGATGCTTTACCGCAGACATCAGAAGCTATTCCCCTACTAGGTCAGCTCAAAGCAAATCTACTACCTTGCTTGTTAGAACTACTTTCGTCTTTCCTCTGGACATAATCTGCATAAACTGAATGTCTAAAACTGAGGTAAACTGCTTTAAATTCAACCGATCCGGACATTAAATAAGACATAAACCCGTTATGTAAATCTTGATACAACGAATGCCACCTTTCGAAAATATTTACAACCGTAATAATACAGTAACACATAATCTAAAGGTATATTTAAACAGTCGTTATCATACGTTTTAATACTCAACTTCGCAGGTTATGTCCAATCACGGTGATTTTTTTTACCGAAATCATAAACTACTTAAGATAACACAAATGTTTCATGATCTTTAATCTCTTCCCTGTTTTTCATAGTAGACGAAAGCACCAAACGAAAGTAAAAAAAATTGTTCTTGTACATAGAACGTGGCTTATGATTGATTTTAAATGTAACTAGTTCTCCTTAAGTTTGACTATCACTGTTTAGCCTGGTATATGTTTTTATGTTTTGTTCCGTATTAGTTGATTCAATGTCTCTTTGAGCCTTTTGTTGTGTAAAAGGTTATTTTTGCACTTAAATAGTAATAAATATCACAGACTAATACAAAACTAAACCGATTCAATAAAATAACCAAATATAATAAAAAAATAATTAAATAAAAGTGCATGAGAGCATGCTCTAGTCACTGTTCTGGATTTAAACCAGTTGAATATTTTTAAAGAGTTGTTAGGTATTTCAGTGACGTCAATTATTTTTTTTACATACAATACCGATAAAACGTTTTTGATATGAAATACCTAATGATGACTAAAATCACTCGAAACTTAGACAAATTTGTAAATCAAACTACTGTAGTCTTAAGATACTCTAAGAATTGTAATGTGTTAATAAACTTTGTATAATAAAACTGGCTCCTCCCCGAACCTATCCTTCCTCTAAAACTGTGAATAACTAATGATGTGATAATTTAGTTAATCTAGTTTCTTGCAGATGGAAGAGAGGATTCGACCTGGCATGCTTCTGGGAGTTAACCTTTACGGTAACCGTCGCAGTGACTTTAATATGTACTAAACATGTTCCTCTCCTACCCGCTCCCCCTCCCAGTTAATGACAAGATAAACTCCTTTAAACAACAATGTTTAATATGATGTTACGTAAACCGAGACAATAACTAACTGTTTACCCCTCTGCCTCCAAGTAACAATATAAATAAATACATGTTAATATAAGTAATAATATAACAGACAAAGTATGTGTTTCGTTCAGTGCAACGGTGGTAACTAACGACTGAAATAAACATTATACTTTGTCACTAGGAAATAACATAAGCGTTTATAATGCTGTTCGATTCAATATAAAAAATAACAAATGATTTTAAGTTATTTCGATTTCATTACTTAATGTGTGAAGTGTATGGATTTCAGATGTGTGCCTCCCCTGCCTCACTGTCTGTTTCTCTATTTCTTACTGTCTCTATCTCTTTCTCTCGTACTGCGGCATGGCTTGAGTCGCATGGAATGCTCGATTTCGACATCTGCCCGAGAACATCCGCATGAAGGCACTGGTGGACAATAAAACAAACATGCAATGTCAAAGATATATCCAACACAATACCAGAATATCAAATGAACCCTAGGAATGAAGAACAACGACATAACAACGCTACTGCATGGTAATCGATATAGTATAATCGATTACGGAAATCTTCCTCGAAAATTGTAGAAGAACACAAATAACGAATGTGCAATAATATTCAGTCCAAACTCATATTTGCACTCTCTTTTGATTGTTGTAAGGCTAAAATTACAGTTTGGTGTTTAATGTTTCATATCCCTACATTATGCCATCCGAGTAATTTTGTTGTAGTTTGTAACCCCTCTGGCTTCGAGCATAGGTATTTTAGCCCAAATAACTATAAAGTATCCCAGCTTTTAGAAAACAACTCACCTTTTCCGCAATGTGCCTTCTATTTAGACCCGCCTAGATCGCGTTAGTTTTACCACGCTTACATTGATAGAACGCTGGGGCCGCACGAGAATGTAAGCACTGGTACTGTGAATAGCAAAGTCGGACGTAGTTGCAACGGAGCTCCACAGGTGGCTCTGTCTGCTCGACTTTTAAACTCTTTCGTTCGAGATTCGCATCGTATTTGAACAGCTTCTTAGGTAAAACTACAACGATTACTTGTCACATACACGATTATTCACATTCACCACTTACCAGCTCGTTATCAGCATGTTGCTTGCCGCATGTCTAGCATGTTATCCACGCGTTTTGTAGGCGTGTTCCGACACTAACGCATGTTTATGCTCCTACAGGTACATATTTCAACTGTATAATGTTCATGGTTGCGTCTTCTGTGGTGTCGACCATCCTCATCCTCAACTACCACCATAGAAACGCCGACACCCATGAAATGTCGCCTTGGGTAAGTATAATTATTTGTATTTTATTACTCATATCCGACAATTCACTGACATTTATTTGTAACATGCCAGGATTGTAAGAAAACTAAATCCATTTTTGGATGTATATAAATTTACTAATAGCCTTGGAAATAGGTTCTGAGGTATACATTCCATCTATATAGACCAACTGTCACCAAACGTTTATTCGAAGGGAGCATTGTCAATGTTCAAGTATGGAACACAGCAGTTCGTTCATAGAGCTTTCTATCCTTGACATCATACACCTTTCATAGTATTGTAGTTGTGAATGTGATTTAAACGGGATAAAAATGCCACTTAGAGTATAAAATGTCAACGATAGAATAATATATAAGTACAGTAGTTACCTCTAGGTAAACTCCCTTATAGTTTTTACTTACAGTAAAAAACTGCGAATACACAATTTTATAATATAGAAAACGTTAGTACGAGAAAATTTCCAAAAATTGACATGCATCTCCCTGTTATCAAATGAGCTTATTTTCGAAAGCATATTCCAAGCATTTGTTAAGAACTACAAACAAATAGGCTATCGAGATAGTAAATGTTGACTCCTTGGAAAAACTATTCTCAATACATAAAATTGTACTCTAAACCCTCAGGCAGATCTTAAGTTGGCACAGCAACAGTTTATTTTAGCATATACGTTTAAATACTGGAGAATGCACTCATCTGTATGAGCACAGTTAGCTAATCGTTAAATTTAATATAATATAGTTAAATGGATCACTCACAGAGTAAGCAGGCCTTAAAAGCTGAAAGTCACAGGTTCGATTCCAAAACGGATCGTTTCCAAACTCGGATTCCATTTGTCATTGGACCATAAACTAATGATGAACAAAATTTTTACATTAGATTGTAACAGCACCAGGATATGAACCGTTCCTTAACAAAAAAAATTAAAATTTTATCATAGAAACTCGAATAAATTCCATTGCTTTCATTATTTCCCATAGCCAATAGTGTCATTAAAACCTTATAATTAACTTTGATCGTTGTATATTTTTGTATAAAACAGAATACATTTTATATTATTTGTTTTAAGCAGGTGTTTAGACGTGTAAAAGCAATAGCATTTGAGAAACGTTGATAATCAAACATGGTAGTTTTTTTTTACCGTTGTCTTGGAAATCATTTCGCAAATTTCACCATGAATATAGGAAAACAAGCCATTATACCCGTGCGTTGCAACAGGATGAAAATGTGACCTAAACAACCAATGAAGGGTAAAAGTGGTGCTGATGTTTTTTTTTTTAGCAAATTTCCCTATAGGGAAGTAGCTATTACCGTAGGTGGCTCGGTAAGACCTAGACCCGGGACCGATTTACTTTTTCATTTTGATGTTCCCAGAGGCCAAAAACACCATTTGTTCAAATTTTTATATATGTATATATATATACGTCCGTGAACACGATAACTTGAGTAATTTTTGTCCGATTTTGATGAAATTTGGTTTAAAGGTGTAAAGCGGGATAAACTTGAATGAGTTCGCGAACCAGCATGATCGGACCATGGGAACGGGGCTTTTTTATGGGGTAAAAGTTGGTTTTTCTCACTTTTGACCCTCAAAACACAAAATTTCCCAATTTCTCTTTAGACCTTTTTAAAGAGCTTAAAAAAACAATTAATTTAGTATATAAAAGTATTTTTGTTCGTTTATTGGTAACGGAGAAAATTAAAAAAAATTGTAAATTTAAAATTCCCATGTTATTCTTATGGAGAATATTGTCAAATGTTGTAGTTTGCTTGTTTATAGATATATTTTGTATTTTGATCAAATTTATTTATTTTGTACTAAGCTATCAATATTTTACAAAAAAACACACTTTATTAGTTTCATTGTAGCAGCAAACCTAAGTACTGGTTAAACCTAATGTTATTAAAATATATTTAATTGAAAATCAATTAAGACAAATGGAAATTCACTTAGTCGGCAGGTTTGCTGCGGCGGGGGTATTTTTAATACATAAAGTCTATGACTTAATTTAAAAAATAAAATAATTTAAAATTGCAAACCAACCTACTCACTTTCAACCACCTACTTTTTATGTTAATACATCCAAAAGAATATGAAAACAACATACCTTAGTGTAGCAATAGCATCAATTGCTTTATATTGAGGCTTCATGAATGAGACATGTTTATTGTTATACAGTACCATAATTCTTCATTTTTAGTCAAGCCACATGTAGCTTACTATATACATTACAAAATGAAACTTTGAGCAATACTTTACAAATCTTATACAACCTTTCTTTAAAATCAAACATACCCCTCTTACAAAATATGCACATTATTTCCTCAATCTACATATAATATTATATATAAGGCATTACAATCATATTTTTCGAGTAAATAAACAAACACCAGTTTATTGCTTTAACCAACTGTTTCATTACATAAATTAAATAATTAAACTTTGGAAGCATATCAGGCGTAGCCCTTTGGAAATCGGCCTGTGGGGATGAGCCCATAAGACATTTGTTCAAACCAATAATTTTTGGCAAATCCACACACTCTAAGCTTCAATTTGATGTGCCATATGCCTAAAAATGTATTTGTTAAATGGCTTTGACCATTTACATATATTTTTATTGTATCACTTTAATAATATAATAATAGATTTGTCTACTTTAACATGTGTTGAGATAAGATTCTCCAAAATGATACCATTCAAACAGTTTGAATCGCCGTCACATATGATAAAGGGAAGGTAAGGCACAGTTCAGCTTTAAATAGGTCACTGAATATTCGAGAAAATCAGATTTTTGGAGAAAAGCTGGTTTGGTCAAAATTAATATGTTATGGTCCTTATAATTCTAAAAAAAAAATAGTAAAACACCCCATTGTAACAATTTTGGTTCAAAAGTTATTGCAACTTTTATGATTTTTAACTATAAAATATCATATTTTACTCTCACCGCTTACCCATGACAAAGCTTGTTGACAAACTTATGGGAGAAAGTATGTGTCAGAATGCTGATACTGTTTATTAAATTAAAAACATATATTATAGTAGTTTACGCAACGATTGCCTAAAGATAGTGATAACGACACGAGTAGAACATTTAAGGTACGAGCCTTAAAAACCTCTTACTTTACGCATTCGTTGCGTAATAGTAGTTTACGCAGCGATTGCGTAAAGATAGTGTTAACGACACGAGTAGAAAATTTAAGTTACGAGCCTTGGCAAGTGCCTTAAAAACTTCTACGAGTGTCGTTAACACTATTTACGCGAGTTGCGTACACTACTTTACCTGCGACGGTGTTTTAATTACTAAAAATCACTACTCATAACTTCTAAGAGAGGTTATGTTTTTGTTTATAACCTCTAATTGCCACTGACAGTGATGCAACGAAACATTGTATCAAATACTAATTGCACCAATCAACAATTAAATTAGCCCGAACAGCTGATTAGTTGAATTTCGAATCATTACAATTTTGCTTCTCCTCTCTCAATCCTTGAACCTCATTGGTCCGTTACCAGTGTTGTTATGAGTAAAACTATGCTGTTATGAAAGTAAACAATGCTGTTATGAGATACTTTTCAATTCTGAGAACTGTACTGAAACGGCTACTTTAAAAAACGGTCGTAGGTAAACTACTATTACCTACAACAGTTTTTTTTTAAGTAGCAGTTTCATTTCAGTTATTAGAATTGAAAAGCCTCACATAACAGCATTGTTTATTTTCATAAATTTATTTAATAGGACAGTGTTGTTTGTCGCAAGTTGAAACCTAGGAGGATTAAACATTAAGGAGAGGGCACGCGAATAGGAATACACGTGTTGCGGTGAAGCCAGCTTTAGCAGAACACTAGAGGGGCACGCGGAGCCGTAGAGTGGCAAAAAGCCTCGGCTATAACATGGGAGAGATAGGGAAAAACGCGACGCGCGCTGTTTCGAATTAAAATTGCCGCTAAACTAAAAGACCTGTGTTATTCACCGATGGCATTCTTAAAGTAAATTAAATTTCCTATTGAACGGTGTCAATCATTCCTATAAAAAATATTATTTATTATTTATTATTGAAGATCAAAGTTGAAAGAATTGACCTGGACTTTGAACATATGATTACTTTAATTACGTTTTTGAAAAAAATATGATGTATCTACACAAATTAACAATTTATTCGTGTTCCTTAAGAGTTTCTGGAAATAAAAAATATATATTTACCTATATTTAAAATTGGTATTTAGAAAAATAATTACAATAAAGTTTTTTCTTAATTTTTCCAGTTTATAAAACAATCTTACTAATAATAGGTTAAAATGAAAATTTTAATTCGGGTGATGAAATACATTTTAAATTTGCATTTTTCATAGTTTTCTCGATTAGTTAATATAATTTTTTACTAGTTTTAAGTCATTTATGTGCTAGGCAGGTGATTTTAAATAGCCAAAGTTAAGAAAAAATGCAAAGCCGCTCTAACTTTTTTTTTCACCCACAGCCGTTACAATTAAATTATAATCATAAAAAGTAAAACAATTTCTTGGCAATCAAATTCTTGATTTTTTAAATATCATATTGAACTATATTTGATCTGTTTACCTAAAGAAACTTCGAGTAAAAAGTGTAAATGTTCAACAATCATCGCGTCTTCTGACCGCCAAAGTGCGTTTATCATTCTTTTAAAGGATTAAAACTTATTTTATTTCTCTTTAAGAAAATGTTCAAATACACATAGGCCCTACAGTACTACTCATGATTTGAGTTTTAATTTATGAACAGTAAAATCCATTGGTGATATGGCGGGATTTGAACCCGGGACCCCATGAACCGGAGTCCCGCGCTCTGGTTAGAGTATTATAAATAATACACAATACAAGTATGGCAAAAAATAAAAACAAGGACAACGAATTCCAAAAAATAAGTCATCCTTGTGTAAATTACTCACCTTTGAACGTACTATTGGTTCATAAATATGACTTTCCTCTTAATAGGTTCCTAATATTACGGTTAGAATTTAACTTTTTAAT